ATAAAAAATCTTCTTAGTGATAATAATTGCAATATAAAATCGTGTTATCGCTATGAATTTCTTTAGCAAATATTGATATCGATATTAGTTTCTATAGACAATTTTGTTATAGATAATAATTTTTACAATAAAATTTGTTATAGATGACATTTTTAATAGAACATCTAGTTATCGATAAACGTTTCTCTGTTAACTCTTATTATCCATAATATCTTCGATAGAAAATCATGTTATCGATAATATTTTGTATAGAAAATCCAGTTATCGATCAATTTTTTATTGAAAATCTTGTTAACGATAATAATTGCAATTGAAAATTTTGTTATCGATAACAATTTCAATAGAAAAACTTGTTATCGATAATTTTTTCCTATAGAACACTTTGGTATCGACAAAAAACTGTTATCGATTGAAATTTCTTCTATGCTGACGTGTGAAATTTTGATTTCCCCTCTCGAAAATTATCATGTTATCGATAATATTTTGTATAGAAAATCTATACAAATTTCAATAGTAAATAGTGTTATCGACAAAATTTGCGATAGAAAAAGTTTAATCGCTAATAATATCTATAAAAAATCTTGTTATCGATAAGCATTTGCATACAAAATCATGTTATCGATAACAATTTCTATAGAAAAATGTGTTATCGATAAAAGTTCTTATAGAAAATATTGTTATCGATAATAATTTAAACAGGAAATCGTGTTATCGATATGAGTTTCTTTAGAAAAATATTGACATCAATTATAATTTCTATAGAAAAGTTTGTTATCCGTAATAAGTTTTGCAGAAAATTTTGTTATCGATAATAATTTTCACATAAATTGTTGTCGATCATATTTTCTGTAGAACACCTTGTTATCGATAATAATTTCAATAAAAAATCTTCCTAGTGATAATAATTGCAATATAAAATCGTGTTATCGCTATGAATTTCTTTAGCAAATATTGATATCGATATTAGTTTCTATAGAAAATTTTGTTATCGATAATAATTTAAACAGGAAATCGTGTTATCGATATGAGTTTCTTTAGAAAAATATTGACATCAATTATAATTTCTATAGAAAAGTTTGTTATCCGTAATAAGTTTTGCAGAAAATTTTGTTATCGATAATAATTTTTACATAAATTGTTGTCGATCATAGTTTCTTTAGAACACCTTGTTATCGATAATAATTTCAATAAAAAATCTTTTTAGCGATAATAATTGCAATATAAAATCGTGTTATCGTTTCTGTAGACAATTTTGTTATAGATAATAATTTTTGCAAAAAAAATGTTATCGATGACAATTTCAATATAACATCTAGTTATCGATAAAAGTTTCTCTGTAAACTTATATTATTATTAATATTTTCGATAGGAAATCGTGTTATCGATAATATTTTCTATAGAAAATCATGTTATCGATAATAATTTCGATAGAAAATCATGTTATCGATAATATTTTCGATAGAAAATCTAGTTATCGATAATTTTTTTTTACGAAAATCATGTTATCGATAATAATTTCAATAGAAAAGTTTGTTATCGATAACAATTTCAATAGAAAAACTTGTTATCGATAATTTTTTTCTGTTATCGATTGAAATTTCTTCTATGCTGACGTATGAATTTTCTTTCCCCCTCTCTCCTAACCCAATACAGATCAAGTGTGAAAACATTTGGTGTGTGAGAAATCATAAAATACAAACTGCCACTGAAATTGCCACTTCATTGTGTCCCGCAAAAGGTCATTAAAATCAATTCATATAACATTTACTAATCGAAATGACTTATCTTGACCACATAAAATACAGACATTTATGGCCACTCAAGCGTAACCAAATAACATCGACATGGACTGCTTCTTAAGTTTCCAAAATAGAGAATTGATTTTAGGGTGGCAAGAAAAAAGAATATTGTATCCATAAATTTCGTGGGTATAACTCAATAATATTGGCAGTGGCTGCTGTCTTTGGGAGGAGGGGGCTGGTGTATTTGCCCGGCATATATTAACAATAAATATTTATAAGCAAAAGAAACTCCCACTACAAAAAATATGGCAAACATTGCAAAAATTATCTACTTCTTGGCCACCGGATATTATTTGCAGCAGTCACTGCTGCTTGTGCTGCACAGACAAAAAGAAGATATAAAACTCGGAGCATTTATTATTCATACGCTCTGTGGGCGGGTTGGTGTCTGTGTGTAATTTGGTGGAAAAGAAAGAGCAGTGAATAGAAACGGAAGGAAGACACACTAAAAGTTATGCGGGGTTGATTCAAAATAAACAAAGGCGGGACGTATTTCTATTTTGTTTCTTTTGTGTTGTGGCGGCTTTGTTTTGTGGTTAATGTTGCAAATATATGCATATAAATCGAGGATAACATATTTAGGACAATATGTGAACTGAACTTGATGATGGGGAGGGTAATAATAAAAACCACATATTTAAAGATTTTAATATAGAGAGAATAAACACCGTTTTTACTTAATTTGAAAACAATATTTTCGATAACAATAAGTTACTATGCAAATTTCCGGCCAAAAGGAAGATTTTGTACAGCAAATTTGATCGATAACAACATTTTCTATAGAAATTGTTTTCGATAACTCGATTTTCATAATAAATTATTATCGATAAAATGACTTTATGTAACAAATTTTATCGATAACATCATTTTTAAAAACAAGTGTTATCGATAACTGGATTTTCATAATAAATTATTATCGATAAAAAATTTTTTTGATGAAAATTTTTATCGATAACAGTATATTCAATACAAGTTTTTATTTTTTATAAAAAAAAAAATTACCGATAACGAGATTTTCTATAGTAATTATTTTCGATAACATGGATTTATCCAGAAAATATTATCGATAACAAGATTCTTTATCGAAATTATTATCGATAACAAATGTTCTAAAGAAATTATTATCGATATCAAATTTGCTATAGAAATTATTATCGATAACAAATTTTCTTTAATTTTTTTATCGATAACAATAATTTTCAATAAATATTTCTAACGATAAAAACATTTTCTATACAAATTAATATCGATAACAAGATTTTCTATAAATAATGTAATCGATAACAAGATTTTATATAGTAATTATTATCGATAACAAGATTTGCTATAGAAATTATTATCGATAATAGATTATCTATAGAAATTATTATCGATAACAAGATTTTCTACAGAAATTATTATCGATAACAAGAGTTTCTACAGAAATTATTTCCGATAATACGATTTTTTCTATAGAAAATATTATCGATTACAAGTTTTTATATCGAAAACATTATCGATAATAAGATTTTCTGTAGAATTTTTTTCTATATAAATTATTATCGATAACAAGACTTTCTATTGAAATTATTGTCGATAACAATATTTTGTATGGTAGTTTTTATCGATAATAAGATTTTCTATAGAAATTATGGTCGATAACTAGATTTTCTACAAATATTTCTACCGATAACAAGATTTTCTGTTAAAACTATTATCGATAACAAGATTTTTAATAGGCATTATTTTCGATAAAAAGTTTTTTTTTAGAAATTATTATTGATAGCATTATTTCCTATAGGAATCACTATAGCAAGATAACAATATTTTCTATAAAAATAGTTATCGATAACAAAATTTTCTATAAAAATGTTTACCAATAACAATACGATAATACGATTTTCTATAGAAATTATTATCGATAACAAGATTTACTATTAAATTTTTTATCGATAACATGATTATGTATAAAAATTATTATTGATATCTATAGAAATTAATATCGATAACACGATTTCCTATAGAAAATACCATCGATAACAAGATTTTCTATTAAAATAGTTATCGAGAACAAAATTTTCTATACAAATTAATATCGATAGCAAGATTTTCTATAGAAATTATTATCGATAACAAGAGTTTCTATAGAAAATATTTCCGATAATTCGATTTTTTATAGAAAATATTATCGATTACAAGTTTTTTTATCGAAAACATTATCGATAACAAGATTTTCTGTATAAATATTTTCCGATAACAAGATTTACTGTAGAAATTTTTTCCGATTGATAACAAGATTTTCTATAGAAAACAATATCGATAACAAGATTTCCTATAGAAAACATTACCGATAACAAGATTTTCTACAGAAAATATTATCGATTAAAAGATTTAGACCAGATTTTCTATATAAAATATTATCGATAACAAGATTTTCTACAAAAATTATTATCGATAATACAATTTTTTATAGAATATTTCATAGAATTTTCTATAGAAAATATTATCGATAACTAGGTGTTCTACCGAAAACATTATCTATAACATGATTTTCTATCGAAAATATTATCGATAACTAGATGTTGTTTTAAATTTATTATCAATAACAAGATTTTCTATAAAAATTATTATCGATAATACGATTTTTTATAGAATATTTTATAGAATTTTCTATAGAAAATATTATCGATAACAAGGTGTTCTACCAAAAAATGATCGATAACATGATTTTCTATCGAAAATATTATTGATAATAAAATTTTCTAAAGAAAATCTTATTGATAAAAAGATTTTCTACCGAAAATATTATCGATATTCCATAAAAAATATTATCGATTACAAGATTTTTCACAGAAAATATTTTCGATAACTAGATTTTCTGTCGACATTTTAATTGATAATACGATTTTCCACAAAAAATATTATCGATAACATGATTTGTAAAGAAATAATTTTCGATGACGATATTTTCTATTGAAGTACTTCTGATCGATAACAGCCTTCTCCATAGAAATTATTATCCATTAAAAGATTTTCTATAGAAATTATAATCGCTAACAATTTGTATAGAAATTCTTATTAATAATTTTTTCTCTATATTTTGAGATCATATCGATTAGTTATCGATTTCATTAAAATTAATATCGAATATGAAATTAAATATATTTATTAATTATTAAAAAACACTCACCCAATATTGCACGCAAATGTCCTTCGAGAGTCTGCAGGATCGTCTGTTTAATTTCGCTAACGCTCTTGCCCAGGAACTGTTCACTGGCGGTGCCCAGAAGTTCGTCAGCCTGATGATGAAAATAATAGACATTCATCATCTGCATGAACAAATCCGTTCATTCATTGTTCAGGGGGATTTTTGTTTTTGTATTTTTTTGGAGAATATAAAAGGAATTTTTATGGTTTTATTAATATGTGTTGTTGTTGTTGTGGGGTTTTTGTTGTCGTTGTCAGCAGCGTCAGCGAAATATATATTTTTATTTATTTATATATATAAATGTATATATGTACATTATGACAACAATTATTTGTTTATTTATATATATGTTTATATATCCATGTATATTTATATTTATTATGAAATACAGAGAGCGTTCGTTGGCAGCATTTATTTAATTCAGGATGAAACGGCAGAGAGAGAGGAGTAGTTACAGCAGAGAGCAGCACAACAGCCAAAAAGCGCAACACAAAAGATAACGGTACAACATCACACCCACACAGACATCAAGGTATCCATCAAACAAACAATGACGTTTGCATTTGTATCGGTTTTTTGTTTTTTGGGTTATGTTTTCAATTCAAACGGATACGGAAATGCATGGTTGTCAATAGAGTATAAGAAGAGGGGCGGGAAAGGAAAAGAAAAAGAAAACGAAAAAAACAACAACTTTAGTTTTTTTATTTAAAAATATTTTATTATACAAAAATTTATTATATTTTATAAAGGGTGATTTTTTTTAAATAACTTTTTTAGAATGATATTATCGAGATTAAGAAAATAGTTATCGATTAGAATTTTTTATAGACAAAAATTTCTAAACTATACTTTTTCGGTAAAAATTCTTCAGAAAATCATATTATCGATAAGAATTTAAATAAAAAATTTTGTTATCGATAAATTTGTTATTGTAGAAAATATCAATAATAATTGTTATCGAAACAGGAAATTATGTTATTGGTAAAAATAGATAACCGTTTTTTTTAGAAAATCTGGTTATCGATAGAAATTACTATAGAAAATCGTAATATCAACAATCTTTCTATAAAAAATCTTGTTATCGATAATATTTTCTGTGGAAAATCATGTTATCGATATGTTTATTTTATAGGAAATATTGTTATCGATTAAAATGACTATAAAAATGGATACGAAAATTATATTATTGAAAATACTTTCTGTACCAAAATGTTGTTATCGATAAAAATTTTTATAGAAAATCTGATAATCGATAAAAGTTAGAATAAATAAATTCTTATCAATAGAAAAATCGTATTACCGAAAATAATTTCTTTAGAAAATGTTGTTTTCGTTAAAAATTATTATAGACAATTTTGTTATCGATAAAAATTACAATAGAAACATCTTGTTATCGATAAATATTACTATCGAAAATGTAGTTTTGTAGATAGATAAATCGTATTATCAAAAATAACTTCTATAGAAATTGCAAGATTAGATTACAAATAACTACAATAGGAAATTTTGTTATCGATAGAAAAATTTTATTATCAAAAATAATATCTATAGAAAAATATTACAGAAATTAATTTTTATAGACAATCTTTATCGATAAGAATTTTTTTAGAAGTTTTTGTTATCGATAAAATTTACTATAGAAAATTTTCTAATCGATAAATATTATTATAGAAAATTTAGTTTATCGATAGAAAAATTGTATTATCGAAAAAAGTCTATAAAAATCTAGTTATCGATCAAAATTTTTATATAAAATCCGGTTATCGATAAAAATCTTCATAGAAAATCCAGTTATCGATAAGAAATTGTATAGAAGTTTTTGTTATCGATAAATATTACGACCGAACAATTAATTTTATCGATAGAAAAATTATATTATCGAAAAAAAAAATTTCAATAGAAAATCGTGTTATCGATAAAAAGTTTTATAGATTATCGATAAGAATTATTGCAGAAATTGTTGTTATAGATAATGTTTCTTTTTAGAAAATGTTGTTATCGATAGAAACATTTTATTATCGAAAATAAATTCTTGTTATCGATAAAATGTTTTATAGAAAAATTCGGTTATCGATAAAAATTACTACTAACATTTTTGTTATCGCTATATATAAAATATTCCTTTCGATAGAGATATTTAATTTTCTTTAAAAATATTACCTAAAATCAAGTCATTAATAAGAATTTTCATAAAAAATTGTTATCGATAGTAACTTTTGTCAAAAATCTTATAATCGATTAGCTTTTCAACAAAAAAATTTTGTTATCGAAGACAATTTCTATTTAAAATATTGTAATCGATAAGAATTTCAACAGAAAATTATCTTATCGATACGAATTTATGAGGCAATTTTTGTTATCGATATTAAAATTCGAACAAAATTGTTATCGATAATCTTGTTATCGATTAGATTTTCAATAGAAAATGTTGTTATCGTTCAGAATTTCTGTGGAAAATCTAGTTATCGATAAAATTATCGAAAATTTTGTTATCGATATGAATTTATAGGGAAATTTTTGTTATCCATAACTAAATCAATATAGTTTGTTATCGATGGTATTTTTTTTATCAAAAACCTTGTTATCGAGGGGAAGTTTTTTTATCGATCTTTAGAAAATATTGTTAACGATAAAAATTTCTGCAGCAAATACTGTTATCGGTATGAATATGTAGTGAAATTTTTGTTATCGATATTAAAATTCAATAAAAATCTTTTTATCATCTATGTTTAAAAATTATCGATACGAATTCCTGTAAAAAATGTTGTTATCGATAGTAATTTTTATCATTCATCTTGTTATCGATTAGAATTACAGCGAAAAATTTCATTATCGATCAAAATTTTTATGGAAAATCTAGTTATCGATAAGATATTATGTAGAAAATGATGTTATCGGTATGAATTTATAGGGAAATTTTTGTTATCGATAATAAAACCAATATATTTTGTTATCGTCTCAATTTGAAAGATTTTTTTGAGATTTTTTTGTATAAAATCGGAAAAAGTTACTTTGAAAAATCAACCCTTTTTAATAAAAAACGATATTTTAATACAATACATTATTTAATAAAAACGAATATTTTTACAAATCAATACAAGTTCTGAGTATTTTTTGAACATGTAGCACAGTGGTTTATATGATTATCTGTAAAAATATTCCTTTTTAATATACAGTCGAATAATATTTTTATTCGACTGTATATATACTTATATTACTATTAATATATATATAAATTTAAATATATGAGATGTGAAAAAAATTAAAAAAAAAATAATATTTTTTTTTGTTACTTAGACATGGAGAAAATGTACAACATTTAATGGCAACATATTTAGAAGTTAGGTGAAAACAATTGATTAATTTTTTAAAATAATAATAGAGTGAGAAAAAGTGGTGAAAAAAATTTCTTAAAAAAAATATTAAAATATATTCAACATACCTTTTATTTAGAAAAAACATATTCAAAAATCATATCATCAAATGGGGAACTCAAAACTACGGCAGTAAATACTCCAACAAAATAATGGAAAACAAATTACAGGATGATTATAAAAAAATAAAAAAAAAAAAATTATAGAAGAAAAAATAAATAAAAAAATTAGAATTTATAAAAAAATTAAAGTAAGGGTAGATGATGGAAATTCGAAAAATATATTTCTTTTACTTAAAAAAATTTATTTAATTTTATTTAATTTTGAAACTTCACTCATTACTTCATATGAGTATGCAAATTTTAAAACATTTTTCAAATCATGGAACTTGACTCTTGTGTCTTCCAAAATCTACTCTTCTTCCATTCAGTATGAATTCTTTGCGAGAGAATCAAAAAAATTTAACTTAAACATATCACAAACTGCAAATCATACCTCATCATCCATTTTTCCATATTTGCTAGACTGCAATCGAAAAAAGAGAATAGAAAAAAGAAATGAAGAAAAAAATATACAACAAATAATAAATAAAGGAGTTTTGTGTTTTTCTTCATTCCAGAAAAGAAATGGGAAAATAATTTACAATAGGCATGATCAAACAAAAATAAACGAACTACTATTTCTCTAATAAAAAGAAAACCAGTAAGGAAAGTAGTAAAGTCGGACGGGGCCGACTATATGATACCCTTCACCACTATGGATATATTAAACAGGACTATTAACATGAAATTGGATGAAATAAAATATGTGATATTTATCCAAATTTGAATCTACCTATATATCCCTAAGTTATATAAATCGACTTCAATCAAATATAAATAGGTTATCTGTTGGGCTATGTCTGTACTTCTAGAAAACGCAACTACGTAATTCTATGCTCAATTTTGTACGTTGTGCAAAATTTGATGTCAACCTGACTAGCATGAAGAGTTTGATGTCCAATTTACTTAAAATCGGGCGAAAATATATATGGAAGCTCTATCCAAATATATCGAAGGATATATAGGGACTTTGGTGCACCATTTACATGAAATCGGACGAAACTATATCTGAATCTGGGCCGATTTTCTCGAAACTGGGCACACATCATTCTAAGCTCAATTCAGTACGTTATGCCAAATTTCCTGCAAATCGAAAGATATATAGGGACTTTGGTGCGCCATTTACCAAAAATCGGCCGAAACTATATATGGGAGCTATATCTAAATCTGAACCGATTTTCACGAAACTTGGCACACATCTTTCGTGGCTCAATTCAGTACGCTATGCCAAATTTCGTGCAAATCGAAAGATTTTCAGGGTCTAAAGTCCGTAAATCGGGCGAAACTATATATGGGAGCTATATATAAATCTGAACCGATTTTCACGAAACTTGGCACACATCTTTCGTGGCTCAATTCAGTACGCTATGCCAAATTTCGTGCAAATCGAAAGATTTTCAGGGTCTAAAGTCCGTAAATCGGGCAATAATATATATGGGAGCTATATCTAAATCTGACCCGATTTTTCCCAATTTCAATAGGGTTCGTCCTTGGGTCAAACAAATGAGCTGTGCCAAATTTCATCCAAATCGGATCATAAATGCGACCTGTACTTTGTTTACAATTTAACATGGACAGACGGACGGACGGACATGCATAAATCGATTCAGAAAGTGATTCTATGCATATTCTCAAAAGGAACCATGGGTCTATCTCGATTATTTTTGCCTGTTACAAACATATGCACAAAGACATAATACCCTGTACCACAGTGTGGTGAAGGGTATAATAACTCTAAATAAAAAATATATAATAAATAAATAAAACAATGATAAAAAATAAAATAAAATTAAATTAAATTAGGAAAATATGTGCCAAAAACTCTTAGGAATTGGAAATTGTGCCAAAATTTTAAATTAAATTGGAATCGAAATATTATTTGTTGTGCTTTTATTTATCAATTTTCTGTTAATGAATATTTAATTGATGTTCCAAATAAAGATTTAATTCTTTTAAGGGTCTGTGCCAAGAGATGCTATAAAACTAAAGCATAATTTGAGGCGTTACTGTTACTGGCAATGGAAGTGTTCAGAAACCGAAATAAAAACCAATGAAGATTTTTTCCATATAAGGTCAAGGAATCTCTCTATAAATAAACCACACCTAATAAATATTAGACATTTTTTTTATTAAAAATAATATATAATAAAAAAAATTTAAATAAAAATAAAATAATGAAAATATATAAAAAATATTTTATATTTCAAAAAAAAAAAAAAAATAAATAAATAAAATAAAAAAATAATAATATTAAAGTAAAAAAATAAAATATATTTTTAATTCAAAAAATAAAATATATTTTTAATTTAAAAAAAAATAAAAAAATATTTTTAATATTGTATTTACTTTTAATTAGACATACATACGTATTTATATCCTTCACCACACTCTGTGGTACAGGGTATTATGTCTTTGTGCATATGTTTGTAACAGGCAAAAGGAAACGAGATAGACACATGGTTCCTTTTGAGAATATGCATAGGATCACTTGACTGAGCCGATTTATGCATGTCCATCCGTCCACCTGTCTGCCCGTCCGTCTGTAGATGTTAAATTGTAAACAAAGCACAGATCGCATTTATGATCCGATTTGGATGAAATTTGGCATAGGTTACTTATTTGGCCTAAGGACGAACCTTATTAAAATTCAAGAAAATCGGTTCAGATTTAGATATGGCTCCCGTATATATTTTCGTCCGATTTAAGGTAAATGGGCCACCAATGTCGCTATATATCTTTCGATTTGCACGAAATTTGGCATCGAGTACTGAATTAGGTCTACAATGATGTGTGCAAAGTTTCATGAAAATCGGTTCAGATTTATATATGGCTCCTGTATACGTATATTCGTCCGATTTGATGTAAATGATGCACCAAAGTGCCTATATATCATTCGATTTGCACGAAATTTGGCATAGGGTACTGAATTAGGTCGAGAATAATGTGTGCTAAGTTTCGTAAAAATCGGTTCAGATTTAGATATAGATTTATGGTATATGGTGCGAAAAAATCCCTATATATCATTCGATTTGCACGAAATTTGGCATAGGGTACTGAATTAGGTCCGGAATAATGTGTGCAAAGTTTCGTGAAAATCGGTTCAGATTTAGATATAGCTCCCATATATATTTTCGTCCGATTTAAGGTAAATTGGGGCACCAAAGTCCCTATATGTTTTTCGATTTACACGAAATTAGGCATAGGGTTTTGAATTGAGTCTTAAATGATGTGTGTCAAGTTTCGAGAAAATCGGTTCAGATTTAGATATGGCTCCCATCTATATTTTCGTCCGATTTAATGTAAATAGGGCACCAAAGTCCATATGTCTTTCGATTTACACGAAATTTGGCATATGGTACTGAATTAGTCGGACGGGGCCGACCATGCGATAATCTACACAAATACCACAGAACTCTATCCTTTTGCGGATTTTTATTCTGAGCCTGGGTAATATTTCGTGATAGTTGCACCCTCTTGCCCGATTAGAGGTCAACAGCACCTCTTCCTTATACTGACATATTTTCCGAATATTACCAATATTCAGTACAGCCCTTCTAATTACTTGACCATATTCCCTTCACCTGTGATGTTCGGCTTATTATTGTAGCCTATAGATCGAATCGAAAAAACACAAATAATTAAGTTTTCGGTCCACTTCATCCCAATATTATTATCTGATCATCACCGAAAATTATGTTCCTGACCATAACTGGAACCTCCTGGAAAATGTCAAAGCGATCAGCTCTTTATTTTCGCTCCTCTAGTGTGGTAATGGGTTACTAAATAATATCTCGGTACGTAAGCACCTGTAAATATTTAAGTGTAACTCCCACATCCGAGTATATACGACCATGTAATTGGTATCAATTTAAATGTCAACCACTCCTCTTGGATATACTATCAACTTCTCGGCTCTATGTCCTTCAGGGGTAAATATATACGCTATAGAATACAAATTTTGTCATTTTTCAGACAAAAGTCAGAGTCCATTTGATCCGCTAAATATTGACAGATCTTTATTAAAACGGGCATGCTTTTTATTTGGCCCGATCCCCATCTCCATGTAAAAATTCGCAAGGTTTGGGCCATAATTGCGGCCTCTGGAGCGACCAGAAAAACCGACAAAAATTAAGTATTTGGTCCATTTCATCCCCTAAATATTAATCGATCTTTACCAAAAACAATAGAGGTCTTCATTGGCCAAAACCCATCCTACATGCAAATATCCTTGAAGATTGGTCCATAACTGTGGCCTGTAATGTGTTTACAAATTATAATGGACAGTATCTTGAAGAGTTTTATGTGAGTTTCTGCCTATTGGCCTGCCTTACAGTGGCTGAGCCACAGGCGAAAATGCACCGAAGTGCTGTACCAATCGGAGAGCATGCAGAAGGCACACACTCCCCCTTGGTGAGGGGCGAAACCACAAGCCCGCGAATCTCCCCAGGTGGCCCCACCAACTGTCAGGGTGGATCGAAAGATCCAGGGGCACCCGACACCCGCGGTACGGAAAACCTCCGCTCAGGCTCGAGACCGAAGCCACTCCAACCTACCACCACCCGGTGCAACCGACCAAACCCAACTGCGAGGCGGCTATGCGCGAGGACCACCTCCACTAAGTACTGTCCTTCTCCTAAATGCTTCACGAGTAAAACTACTTAAACAGCTAAAGGTCCGATCGTCTTCAAGAGCCCTAATGAAATCCCACCCCGCCCCTCCATTCGATATACCCATACATGCTAAATATCTAATGTCATCATAGTAGCAGCACACTTTTATGCAGAAACGCATTGAGAGAACCATGCCCCGTCAGTAAGAAACCAGTACTTAAGCCGAAGCGAAAGTCTGGCCGGTCCACTACGAACGTTGCGCCACGAATAAATTCGTACGTCACCCTCCCTTTGTCACTGTTCGTCCACCTTGTCCTCCACCTATCAACAACACACTCCCTGTACCTACCCTACTCTCCCCATCCACCAAATCAGAAGGCCTGAGCCAATCATCCTCATCCAACTGCAAACCACGCTTAAGCTTATACATGATAGCCTACATCTCACTTCAAGACCAAGCGACGCGGCGCCAAGCAGCACTTGCAACGCCTCTGTTAAAACAGTGCGACACACTGGCAAGCATGCTAACATGACGACCCGCTGACACGAAAGGAGCTTCTTCTGCCCAAAGACAGATGAGGCAGTTCTGCACCATATAGGTGCACCATAAGTAGAGTAGGCAACAAAAAGACCACCATGTATGATGCGCACAGAACGCCTACTCAAGCCCCAATTAGTCCGCAAAATACGCCGGATGGCCATCGTCAGCTTCTCCTTCAACCGATCAAAGTGTGGAAGAAAATTCAAACGCTCTGACACCGTTTTTCCGAGATATTTAACAGTACACGAATACCTTATGCCGCGTTCACCAGCTCGAAT